TTGCATATTTGTCATTTGAATGGGAGGGGACTTCTGCCAGACAGCCGAGTAGAAGAGTTATCAAATGAGCTTCGATCGGAAAACTGAGACTTCATTTGCCTCAACGAAACATGGCGTGCTGATCAACGAGAGTACTTTGTATGCGATGGCGGACACGTCTTTGCAGGTTGCGGGGGGGTGGAAGGAGCCAGAGGATTAGCCAGTTTGATTAACAGGAAATGGGCCACACATGTTATCGAGTTTGATCGAATTTCAGAACGACTGGGATACATCGATGTACAGCTCAAGAGCGAGAATTCCCGCATCGCGGCGGCGTATTTTCCGCATTGCGGCTACCCTGACTGCTACGTACAGCCATTATGCGGTGACATATCCGAGCTACACCAGGAAGCCAAGCATAGTGGTCTTCGCTTTGTCTTGATTGGCGACTTTAATGCCCAGGCGGGTCGGCGCGAGGACGGCGCCGTATTGAAATGCATTGGCTCATACGGGATGCACGATCAGAAAAGCAGGGTCTTTGGTTGAAAGCGTGGGCTTGCGCGCAGAGGCTTGGCATCGCGAGCACATTTTTCTCGAAGAGGAACGTGCACATAATTACTCATTGCGGGGCAAACGGTTGCAAGCGTCAAACTGATTACATGTTGGTTGATCTCAAACTTTTGCCAAGAATGGGGGATTCATTCACGACCGGTATTCTGAACATGGGTTCCGACCACAACGCAATGGTTCTCAAATTTCAATTTGCTTATGCGTCCGAACCTGAAACAAAGAAGAAAACACGCACGCAGAAAATATAGTGGAAACGTGTTGATACAGCCCAATTTACTGATGAGGCTCAAATGATGGGTCAAAGCGTGGAGGCCACAAAGAACCCGGATGAGGATTGCAAACTGATCGCGAAATTATTGGTTGACTGTGCTGCCCGGGCACACGTTGAACATGGTGCACGTATTCAACCGTCGGAAGACGAGGTGGAATTGCAACGACTTCTTACGCAACGGAAGGGGTTACAAAACGCGGCAGGGTCAGAGAGGGCAAAATTGAGTAAGAACATTCGCAAACACGTACGGAAGGTCAGGAGAAGCCGGGCGACAAAACGAATACAAGCGGTCCTCACGGCATTCAAGGACACCAAAAGCATACCGAAGTTCAAAAAACATCACGAAGGAACAACTTACCACGCATATGACGAACAGCGAGGGGAACACGCACACAGATAGGCAAAGTATTGCAGATGCAGCTTGTACAGTGCAAACACAACAACACAAAAAACATATACATGCAGCTCCAATGCGGTGTCCGGCACGACTGAGCCCTTTACGAAGGAAGAATTACGGGAACAGCTGAAGAACCTGAGGACTGGGAAGTGTTGCGATCAAAATGGTGTGTGCGCAGAGATGTTGAAAAACGGCGGCGGCGCATGCGAGACTATCCTCTTAGACCCCTACAACAACATAATTTCTCCGAGCTCACCCCCGCCGAATCGTGGAAGAAGTCAGCTGTAACAGTATTGCACAAAGCTGAGGACACTGATCATGCGAACAATTACCGCCCCATTACCATCATCCATATATTTTACAAGTTGTTTGCAAAACTACTGTACAACAAATTGTATCCTATGTTGGACAAACATCAGAACATGGGCCAAGCCGGATTTAGAAAGGGACTCAGCACTGTGCATCATATGTTCGCGGTGTCCATGCTCCAAGAGAAGTGCCACGTGTGGCAGCGCAGCTTGTGGTTTGCCGCGCTTGACTTCAAAAAGCCGATTGCGTTGAACATCGCTGCCTTTGGCGTGCTCTTGGAGTTCATTCTGGGTATATTCCTTTACTTCAGAAGCTTTTACAAGCAGGGCAAAACAGGCCGAGTGCGCACGGATTGTTTCAGCAAGCCTTACGACATTCAAAGTGGGACTAAGCAGGGAGATCCTTTGAGCACTCTCTTGTTCAACTGTCTTATCGAAGAGGTAATGGGCGAAGTCAAACTGAACTGGTTGAAGAAAGGCTGGGGTCTTAAAATGGGTTTTACCGAGTAAACTCAACTGACCAACTTGCGCTTCGCGGACGACATCCTCATCATTGCCAGCATTTTGAGGCAGACCAAAGCCATTTTGAAAAATATCAAAGGCGCCGCAACTAAAATTGGTCTGGAACTGCATCCCGGCAAGAGGAAATCTTGAACAACGCTACCAAGGGCACCCGCAGATCGAAGGAACCGAAGGTGAATATTGACGGCATGTTGATTGATGATCAACAATCGTATTCATAATGCGCGACCATGTTTCATGAAATACCGTGCAGAGCTAACTGACCGACAATATTCCATAAATTCACGTCTCAAGTTATTTGAGTCGACAGTGACCACCACGATGCTCACGCGCGAGCTTGAGGACAAGATCCGGCGAACACAGAGGCGAATTCTACGGATGATCGTCCGAATATCGAGACGCAAAGCGCGGGGGCCAACCACTTCCACTTCGACTTCGTCTTCATCCAACTCTTGCTCTTCATCGGGTTCCTCTTCTTCTTCTTCAGTGGACATCTTAGAACCATGGGGAGATTTCAGTGTTCGTGCGACGAATTATGCGGAACAGAAGCTTTCTGATTTGAGACTGCGAGATGAGGTGGTTGAACATCGCAAAGCCGCCGTATCATGGTCAGAACGCATGGACACGGATAGTATGTCTTGGGCACAAACGGCGTGCAATTGGGAACCGTTCGATTCTACTTGAAGGCCAGAAGGCCCGCGGGAAACCAGGACAAGTTCATGACCAGGAAAACGAGGACTGAATTTTCCGCCTGCCGGCGCCGAGGCGCCATCGCGCCGTCCATTCTTGGACCGGCCTTTGGGCCGCTGTGGCGTGTGTGTGTGTGTGTGTGTGTGTTTGCGTGTGTGTGTGGTCTCAAGACGGCTCAAGACGCCGCCAAGAAGCCCCAAGAGAGCCTCAAGAGGCTCTCCTAGAGAGCCTCAACAAACAAAACATGTTCCATTCCTTTCGGGAAACGTACATTTTGCCCATACACGACGTTTCGAGGTCCAGCGCGTCCAGCACTGCCTAAGAGACCTTCAAGATCGCCCCAAGACGGCCCAACAGACTCCCAACATGGGCCCAACACGGCCCAAGAGGGCCCCAAGACAGCCCACGAGGCCCTCTGGACAGCCCAAGCCAACCATAAGAGGAGCCCCATGGGAGAAACACGAATTGAACTGTCTAGCTCGCCGACCCGCAAGATCGTCCCAAGACGCCCAAGATGGCCTCCAGACGGCCCAAGCACCGCGGGCCTCTGCACACGCGGATACACATGGAAAACCTGGGTACTTCGCACCCCTGTAAAAAAGCCAAAGGCCGGTAATGGAATTGGAGGCGGCGGGATGGCACCAACGACGGGACACCCATCGAGACAGCCAGGTTCATCCATCGAAGGCCCTCGATCGGTCGATCTGTCAACTGTGAATAAACACACATATATATAAACACTTTAAATGTATAAACACTTATATATACCTATACCCATATATATATACATATATATAAAAATATATGTAATGTCCGCCACCGTGATGATGGGCACGGAGTGGGCGTCAGGTCCTTCGCCCAAACTCCAGAGCCTCAGTCCCCGATCCTCAGGGTTGAAGGGGCCAGGACCCCGAATGCACGAATCGCCTTGGGCTCGGCGCGTGCCCCCTGAGGTTGCCAGCGGCGTATCGCGTCCATTTGTCGTGCCCAAGAGTGCCCCAAGACAGGCCAATGGAGCCCTAAAGGGCCCCGAAGACGGGCCAAGAAGGCCCCGAGTCGCCCAACGATCACTCCAAGACGCTCAACATGGCTCCCAGACAACCCTAGGGCCCCAAGATCGCCCGCCTCAAGACGGCCCAAGAGGCCTCCAAGAGCGCCCCACAACGGCCCAACAGCGTCCTCAATCGGCCCAAGACGCGCCAAACGTCTGGCCTCTGTACCAAAAAATCACAGCGCAGAAACGTGGTGAGACAAGCAATCACGAGTATGTAACGCGTATGCAGTCGGATTGAGGTAACAGTGCAGTCATGATCAATTGCCCTCGCAGGAGCAAGTCGCACCGAGGCCATCTTCTGGGGTCGGCGGCAGATGAAGCAGCCTTTAGATAGCCATGCCATAAAACGACCCAATACTGGCCCTGGTGGGCACAAAGGGACGTCCCCTCCCTTCCCACCGGGGACGCCCCCAGAAGGGCCCAAGACCGGGACAAGACGTTCCAGAAATACCCCAAGACCATTTCAGACGGCCCCAAAATGGTACCAAAGCCAATGTAATCTTGCAGAAAATTGCCGAATGACACTTCGTAACATCTTGGCTCCATTTGAGAAACAAAATATCCATCCCGGAACCAACTTGGAACCGTCGGAACCATTCCGGCACCCGCTCGGCGCGGCGATGATACGTTTGTGAAAATTGCCGCAGGCAATTGGATACGACTAGCAGATGCGATTCCATTCGAACCATTGCTCGTAGACAATGCGGACAGAACATGGAGAAAGGGTAGCCGCATCGGCAGGATATTATCGGCCATACATATCACATAAAACAACACAAGGCCGCTGCGTGCGAGGATGCGTCTGCAAGTTCTGAACGCTATGCTTCCACTGCGCACGTTGCAGCTGATTCAGAATGCTCATACACTCGAGCTTGATCGAAAATGGGCCAACGTAAAGTGAAGCTGGCCAAAAGCCGATGGGCGCGTGGCTCAGAAACTAGGCGAAGGCTGCTAAAACCGTGGCTGCTAAAACGGCCCTCCCAGACGGAAAAAACAACTTCCCAGAATGAGGCGCGGCACGCCAAACAGTCAACGGGATTCTTCCCGGAAGGACGAAGACAGCTTCCCGGAGGTCGACTTTAGCAGCCACGGACTTAGCAGCCCTTGCCCGGCTTCCGAGTGGCTACCATTCGCAGCCACTGTAACGTGCGCACGTCGCAGCAACCCTAGAGACAAGGGCAGACACAGTGCACTAACGACACCCCATGCCTCGTACATCACCTCGGCCCTCGCCTTGGTCTCCTTGGGAAGGCGCGGTTGTCAGGCCGGCTGCTTCGTCTCATCCGCTGCCGTCCGATCCTCACTCTTCTCTCCTCAGTCGAAAGCTCAGCCGCATCGGCTTCGTGGTGTGGATTCTGGTCCATACTGGCCCGATAACCTGAGAAATGTCAACCAATGCTTAGAACTTGTACTAAACCCGCGTCAGGGTATGCCCAGTGTGCCTCTCCTTCTCCCACCCCTCTGCCCCTCCAATGATGCAAAAGCTTGCTGAGTGCATACATGACGCCTTACAGTAGCCAACAAACCAACCAACGAAACCAGTCATGCAACTAGTCAGCTGGCAAATAAATCAGCCACTCAACCAATCACCTGCCAATCAGGGAGCCAAGCGGACCAGCTAACCAACTAGCTGAGCAGACGACGAGTCAACTAACCAGACACCGAACCAACCAATCAACCCATCACTGAGAGAACAAGCAAACACCCAATCAATCACCCTACCAACTGACCAACCGTTCACTGAATTAGCAATCAAATCACCAATCAACCAGCCAACCGACCATTCAGACTATGCAGCAACCAACAAACCAGGCCAATCGGCCTACTGGCCAGCCAACCAATTTCCGATCAACTTGTTCAGCCAACCAGCAAGCTAATCAATCAACCAGTGAACCAACGAACCAATCTACATAAATCCACCCGACATCCAACCAACCAACCAACCGAACAGCCAGTCAGGAAGCGATTCACCAGCCAGCCAACCAAACGAACAGCCAACCAACCAAGACCAACGAACAAAACAAGCTTGCTGTTCTGTCTGACAGTCCTGCAAGGGGGATTGCGAATCCGCCCCAACTGTTTCTTACCAGGTATGCCGAAAGCCGTTGGAATTCGAGCCCAGAGGTGGAAGCCTGAGAGCGTTGCTGCCCTCAAGCTGCAGGGTTGCACAAGAGGCTGGAAGAGTCAAGGGTTTCCTCATGGGCTACATTTGCCCGTGATCGTATCGTCGCTGCCGTGAGCAACAACCGGAAAGCACGTTCAGGGATCCACATAGATTATGTCTCCTGTTGCTCGTCACTTGATATAGAGAAGCTGGAATGATGGAGGTGACGTCGCGTTCACAAAGAAGGTGACCATCACCAGAAATTTGCACAGGCCTCCCCTGGCCTGGATCACGCACGGGAGCCGCATCGTCTTCCTTAGCGGCTAGGACCATGGAGCAGACACTCCAGCCTTCCCGCAGATGTGTGTAATCGCTGACGCAGTCGACATCCACTTCCGCGAGCGTGACGCAATCAGAGGATGCAGGGGCATATCATTGCCTAGTTGTTTGTGCACTCGGAGGTCCTCTGAGCACTGATCGTGGTGCTAAACATGATGATGCTAATGCTGATGCTGATGCTGACGCTCACGCTGACGCTGATGATGATGACGATGATGATGATGGCTATGATGGTTATGATGATGCTGATGACGATGACGATGATGATGATGATGATGATGATGATGATGATGATGATGATGATGATGATGATGATGATACCGATGCAGGCGACATACGTGTTGGGCAGCCATGGATCGCCCAGGGTCGCATGGGACTTACGATACCCAATACGCCTTTTCAGTGATCTGTGGGCCAAAGAGAACAATGTGGACAACTCCACTCCCCTCCAACCTCCTTTGCAACCCGCTGGTCAGGAAGAGCTAAAGGTAGATGGACTCCGACTGTTCTTTCAACATGGCTTGACGGTACCTGCTGGGAATCACACCGCAAATGAAGGCCCTCAACAACCATGCATCGTAGAGGGCCTGAAATCTACACAGAGCGGTAGGTACCCCTCTGCTGGCGTTGTTCCCCAGCGCTCCTGTGGAACTGGGTCCTCGCTCTCTCCGTTGCGCCACCCGTCTCAGCCTCGCGCTTCCTACAGTCAACCCGCAGAGTAAGGATGCGCGATAAGGATGCAAGGCCCTTGGACGCCCATTTCGAAGCGTTTCGAGCGGGGCGCGGCCAACGAAAGTGTCCAAGGATGGACCCAGGAGGCAAGGATGCAAGGGTACCCTTGGGAGGGATGCCCGTCCTTACTGTGCGGGTTGACTGTGCCACCTGCCGCCCCATCCCTGCCGCTGCTGCTGCGCGCCCCGCTGCACCCCCCTCTTCCAGGCCACCAGACTTCGCGCGTCGCACCCCATCGGTGCGCAACGCCCGATTGCCTTCGCGCACTCGCGCCGCCGCCCTGGAGAAGGACAGCTCTCCAGTGCAGACCACGACGCGCGAAGCGCGATAATCCTCGCGCCCCTAGGATTCACCTAGACGTGTCCTCATCCTTCGTGTGCATCGCTCCTGTCCCCCGATCCCCCAATGTATACCTCAACCGCTTTCTCCTCCCTCCTCGTGGCCCACCGCCGTGTGTCTCCTCCTCGGTAAAGACGCCCAGAGTCTCGAAGAGCTTGATGTTCTTGTCCGATGCCCAGTGCTTGATGGCCTGAGCGTGGGGCCCTTCGTGGCAATTAGCCACAGAGACGTTGTTTGCATTCCATCTGAAACATGCGGTCGCGTATCCTGGCGTCAGATACGTGAGGGATCTACGATTGGAAGGGAGGTGGGGAGGAGGGAGGACTTGTTTGACTTCCACGGCAGATGACTCCGACCAAATGTGGTAGAACGTGGGCAAGCCAATTGTGATCCCTACCCGCTTCGTGTGGAGCCGTTTGCCGAGGCCAGAGGAGGAATAACATTCAAGGGAAGCTGGGGGAGAGGAAGAAGAGACGAGGGAGGAGGAGGAGCGAGAAGGGAACAAAGCAGCAGGCAAGGGATAGAAAGGTGAGAGGAAGGCCGATGAAAGATTGACGAGAGGGAGGGAGGACAAAGGCAAACGGAAAGGAGCAGGGTCGGCTCTTTTTGACCCCGCAGCACAAGGACTTGTTGGGTGGAGACCTCGCCCCAAACCTAGAAGCCACTGGCCGTCCGGGCGGCCGGTGCCACCGAACCAGCCCGGCAAGGGGCGAGGCAGCTGTGGAAAGGGGAAGAGGGTCGGGAGCTGGTCAGTGGGAGAGCCAGCCCAGACCCTCCCCGTATAAAAAGCACGGCGACAAATTTATGTTCGCCGCTTTCGGCCTCTAGGGGCCCTCGCCGGGCTCCGGGACCTTCAGGAAACGACCTGGGATGAAACAGTGGCGCTGGGGAAGGGGTCGGGAATTGTGAGGACCACGCAGTGGGAACATCAGTGCATCGAACCCCAGAATAATTGAAATCCCAGAGTACGTTCTGCCTGGACGGGGTCAGCCATGCAGTGACACAGCTCGGGAGCAGCAAGCGGGCCTGTGGATGCAGAATTGTGCCCAAGTCCGTTGGCGCACTCGTGCTGGGCGCACCCTAGAAAAGGGGATGAGCGAGAGGAAGAGGACAAGCTAGGTGCGCTCGCGCCACATCTAACGTCGTACCACTCCCTCGCAGCCGTTCCTGTTGCGCTGATTCCTTTCTATCCACCAACGGGTGTCATCCGCCCCCGTGCACTTGAGGCACGGGATGGATTGTCCTCAGGTCCTTGGCCTGACCCCCGAAGCCTCACTCCTCAATCCTGAAGGTCCTTCAGAAGGGACCTGGACCCCAAACTCCCAAATCTTCTGGGGCTTGCCGCGCGGTCTCTGGGGTTCCCAGCGTGTCCCCTGGGGCCGGGGGCATCTTCCCGCATGCCATTTTCGGGCCCAAGGGCGCCCCAAGACGGGTCAAGGGGCCCATGCCGCCACGACGGTCCAAGAGGACCCTGAATCTCCGAAAGATCGCTCCAAGGCGCCCAAGACACCCAAGATGCCTCCAAGATGTATCAATCATTGATTTCCCTTTGGTGTTTGACGGACTTGGGCATTATTGCTTTTTCGACTCCCCGACGCTTCAAAAAATCCGAGATCGACCCAAGACTGCCCAAGCAGCCTCCAAGAGGGCCCGAAGACAGCCCCAGAAGGCCCGAAGACGGCCCAAGAAGCCTCCAAGACGGCCCGAAAGGCTCCCAAGACGGCTCCAAGAGGGCCCAGGCGGCGACCCGAACTGACATTTCGAGCCCTCGGCCCCGAGAGGCCCCCAGGAGGCCCCAAGAGGCCCCCAACAGCCCCCCAAGAGGCCCCTACGAGGCCCCAAGATAAAGATCAGACGCTCTTCTTACGTATCCAATCAAGATGAGCTGTTAATGTGGTCCTCATGCGAGCATGCTGTCTGTACCTGCTTTGGGCTGAAGGCACGGGCCCTTGTGCTGAGCTGTGCGAAGAACATATCCTTTCACTATCACATAGTGTTCGGTACGCGTTGCGACCGATCGTGGTAGCGGAGCTCCTGCTCCTGTAGACATCACAGCGAGATCTTGCGGTGCTCACGGGGGCCAGGAGCAGATCCAGGCATTTCATATTCGTGAGAGCGACAATGATCTTAAGTTTTCTGCCCGTGGCGGTGTCGGCAGCAGAGCTAATGTCAACGTTCAAAAAGTTCGAGCAGATCGGAGACGCAGATCCCAGGGTGCCGACCTGGAACGGGGCTCTGGGAACCCAGGATTCAAAACAATGTCAACGAGAGGTAAACGGCTACGCCGCAGGACAGAAGAAAGGAGATGAGATACTGGTGGGCCCAAGGCTCTGGATCAATCTACGAGGCAAGGCAAAGTTGGCGGTGCAGGACCTCGACCCTGCAGAGCTGCGGACGGAGACTGGAGTGGCGACTCTGCTGGCTAAGCTGGCGGAGAGGTTTCCATACACGACCCAGAAGCAGATGCACAGAGCGTACAATAGACTGTTTGAGGATACCCACTTCAAGACGGACATGTGTATCTATATATATAAATATATATATATATATATACGATGGATTTGGACATAGCACAAGACGAGCTGCAGAGAGCTGATCACGAAAGTAGGACTTCGGACACAAGGATGGGCTACACCTGCCTAACGAATAGTATAACGTCATTGGTCTCGCGGGCTCGAGTCTGAAGCTGAGCGCAATCCGCACGCACCTCTGCGACCCGCACCAGACATGGAATCACCATCGCCACAGAGACCGAGGGAGAAAATCATGCGGAGGCAATGTACGACGGCAAATATATGCGACGGAAACAGGGCCCGACGATCAGGACGAGTATCAGGAGGCTGAAGATGAAGACGAGATCTGGGCGGCGGTTGGGGAGGAGGCCGAAGCCGGCGAGGACATTGCATAAGGAGAGTACTACGACGAAGACTACTATGAGCTCGAAGCAGAGATCGCCAACGACACCGAGTTACAGACGGCGAGATGGGCGAGAATGGCAGTGACGCGGGTGATGCGCTGGCGACTTTCCCAGAGAGCAAGAAGGTGGCCGACCCTGTGTGGACTCGGGGTTTCTTCCGAGGCACAATCGACGGCTACTACAAGCCAGGACGGCCGGACTCCTCTGGGCCAGCAGGCGGCCGCGGCTGGCCAGGGCCAGGGCGTAAGGGCAACGGCTGAGGCAAGGGAGGTCGAGGACCACCAAGGCTTGCCTTCGTCATCGGTGCCGACTGGCACGCCCAGGTGCGACGACTGCAATCGGTTTGGACATCGAGCTGGAGACCCCCGTTGTCCTGCGAAGGATCCGCGCGGAAACCGCCGAAAGACTACCGAGACGACCACGACCGCAAGCGGAAGGCCAAACCAGTTCGAGCACTGGGGCGAGATAGCGCGAGGTCGTGCAAGACGGCGGCATATCTAGCGATGGCGGTTGCTGCATTACGCCTACTAGCAAGAGAAAACGCATCACCTCATCCGGAGGTCAGCTACCATCAGGAGCAGTGCGGGAGGAAGGGCGTCGTTGTCAGAAGCTGCTACGCCTGCGACCTGATCACGGACGAAAGTTAAGCGCTCAGCAGTGACCTAAATGACCAGGCAACAGTAAAGGACGCGGCCTGCACGTGTTCGCTGATGACGATTGCGTGGCGTGAGAAGGCGGACGATCGTCTGGCAGCGCTCGGGCCCAGGATGATCCAGGCCCCGATTAAGCGGACGCGGTGAAACGGCCTGGGCAGCGTGATCAAGGAGACGGCTGCTACCTACCAGATGCTGGTGAGCATTGATGGAATACACTCGGAGGTGGAGATTTCCGAGATCGAGGGCGAGATGCCGACGCTGGTCGACAAGAGAGAACTGCAACGCTGAGTTTGCAATCTCTTCTTCGGAAACGGTTTCGCCGATACTAAAAGATTGAGATTTACGGAAGGGAACTCTGCACCGGACCGGGTGGCCATCCGATGATCGACCTGTTCGATTTCACCGAGAACATGCTGGACAAGGACGAGAAGATGAAAGAGTTCAAGACTGTGGACGACGGCCACGCAATGATCACGGAGGCGCAAGCGGACTCAGAGGTTGCCTGCTCGGAGAAGTCAGATATGACTATGCTGTTGAAACAGATGTACGAGCAACGCAGGAACAGCAAGGCCGACGACCTGGTGGCATCTGCATGGATGGCGAGGCCAGTGGGAGCAGTTGTACGAAATATAAAATGCGAAACACCTCATGAGTGGGAAAATCTAGAGAAGCTCGCGGCGGCGCTAAAAGATCATGGTAAGATCTTCTATTGGGGGATCTTCGCAGGCAAGGGTGACGCCGCGAACGTTGCGGTCAAGGGCGGGCACTTGACCGGCGCGAAGGTCGACGCGATTGACGGGAACGACCTAACCGAAGACAAGCAGAACGATTTGATCGTGGAGCTTGCGGAGGTAACGGAAAGAGCGAGGTACGAGTGATGACGATCTGGTGTGGGCGAAGCCCTAAAGGGAGGGGTTCCAGGGGAGGGGGGTAGGGCGGGGGCATGAGTGTTAATGGCCGTTTTCGGGTTTTCCTTCGGTTTTTGTATGTGTTTTTCGGGTTCTCCCCTCTTCCGTCCCAGAAGAGCCCAAGGCCGCCCAAGACAGCCCCAAGACGTCCCAAGAGGCCTCCCAGACGCCCCAAGAGGCGCCCACGAGGCGTCCCAAGAGGGCCCTAAAACACCAAAATCAATGATTTTCCACAGGAAAACGCGCATCTTTAGCATATACGGTTTTTCGGTTTTCACGGCGTTGACGACGGCCCAAGAGGTCCCCAAGACTGCCCAAAGACGGCCCAAGAGGTTCCCAAGAGGCCCCCAAAACTGCCCAAGAGGGCCCCAAAACGGCCCAAGAGGCGCCCAAGACGGCCAAGAGGGCCCCAAGACGGCCCCAAGAGGGGGACCACGAACCGAAAAGTCTAGCCTGTCGCCCCAAGACTTCCCCCAGGAGGCCCCAAGAGCGCCCCAAGAAGCCCCAAGCGGCCCCCAAGAGGCCCCCCAAGAGGCCACAGGAGGCCTAAATCATTGATTTCCTGTAGGAAAAAGTACATATTTAAGGTATACGGCTTTTCGGCGTTCACGGCGTTCACGGCGTCCCAAGAACCCCCCCAAACCGCCCCAAGACGGCAAAAGTACATTTTTAGCATACACGGCTTCTCGGCTTTCACGGCGTTGAAGAC